CGCCCCGTGCCGCGCCATCGCTTCGGCCCCCGCCTCCGTCTCTTTCCCCGACCCCATTCACGCCTCCACCCTCATCACAACGCCCACCTCCATTGTTAACGACAGACGTTTTGCTAGCGTTCGATATTTCGTTATCATAGGCCTACACACCATGACTTAAGATTTAATTTATTCAGTCAAAAACAGTGAAAAGTGTACGTGACGTAGGGGGGAAACGATTATCTGCGCACGTTTTCTTGACTTCCAGAATACCTTCCCGTCATTTTTACTATAAATAGTTGAAAGGCGAGTAACAGTTGATACATTTTAAATTCGTAAGATTAGCAATATTTGAAAAATAGTCATTTTCGTTTCTGAGTTAAAGAAAACTTATTTGCATCGGTACGCGAATTGCAAGTACGATTTTTCTGCATTGCTAACAAAATAGCAACTCGCCCTTACCTCTACTCTCACATTACAAGCAAAAGGAGAGTTCAACAAAACGTGCGCATAATGAGTAAAGCCACATTTACGTCCAGAAGCAAAACAAGGGGTTATCTCAGCATTTGCTCAATGGAACAGGGAAACTGAACAAAAACCTGATCGAGATGGGGTCATTGACCCGGAAGCTGAAATACATTATTTGTTACAAACATATTAAGCAATTACACGTGTTAGAGGATTTTTTCTAAATTTAGCATCTGGATTTATCCACTTTTTCGTTGCCAGGTCCGTGTAATAAGAGATTTTCTGCCGAGAATTCGCTGTTTTTTCGCGCAGTATTACATAAAAAGCAGAAAATGTAAAAGCGGGGTTTTACTGTAAATTATTTGAATTTATTACAATGAATAAAATTTCTAATCTGATCCATCTCTTTTTCTTCGAGAACCATCCCTTTCTCTCCGAGAAACTATGTGGTTTTAGGAGAGAAAAGAAGTTAAGCTGAATCTTGTCAGCTATATACATATCTTACAGGCAATTGATAGCAAATTCAGGGTCGACAGTGTTTACACTGATTTTAACAGGGCCTTAGTTTCTGTTAATCAATTTTGTGTCAAAACTCAAAGAATTTGGGATTTGTGGACAGTGGTTCAATAGTTATCTAACTGGAAGAGGGCAATATGTAACCTATGGAAATGTCTCACACTAATCAAGCTTCTGAAGTACCACGTGGTTTTCATTTGAGCACAATTGGGTTTCTAATTTTTATTAATGACTTTGATGATACTTGATGAAGAGTATCTACTTTTTTGCAGACAATTTAAAAATACACAAATGTATAAAATTGTTAAAGAGGAGATAATTTACAAATTGTATTAAATTCCTTTACTGTTTGGGGGCAATAACAATGATCTAAAACTAAATTCTAACAAATGTAAAACTATTAATTTTAACAGATTCGGAACAGTAGTAGTTATAACAATTTTTTTCAATTTTACAAAATATATCAATAAGAGATCTGGAAGTAATGTTGGACAAGTTAACTCGAAGGACTTGAGTTAGTCTCGGGCCGGAAAACATTTTTGCTGGTTGAAAAAACTTTTTGCAGGTTCAATTGGTAGTGTAATATTGTGGAGCAGTTAGAAATTATGCGAGAAAGTATGTGATGTTGTAGCATCTAGTTATTATTATTATTGTTATTGTTGTTATTATTATTGTTATTATTATTGTTATTATTATTGTTATTATTATTGTTATTATTATTATTATTATTATATTCCAGAAGAAGATGAAGACAAAGAAGAGAATGCGAGACTGGGTGTGTACTGGTTGACTAAAGCTTCAGAACAAGGAAATTTGGAAGCAACTGCTATACTCAAACAATGCTTGGAAACAGGACAAGGTAGGAAGTAAATGTTTTCTTTGGCTGTATAATCCCTAATTTTTTGACACCATTAGTAGAATTATGAATGGAAATAGCTATTTATAAAAAGCAATTTTTGCTCCCGCTTAATAGAATCTATTTGAATTGAATCGCAAGCTACAGATTTCATATACTAATACTGCCCCCCTCCACCGCTTGGCGACTGGTGAAATAAAAGTTAAAGAAAATGTATGAGAATTATGACTATCTTTTATATATTGCAATAAAATCTTAATTTCAGTCAATGCACTTCTATATTTTTTTTAAGATTTGTTTTCTTCTTGATTGCAGGTATAACAGAGCACAATTTTTTGGAAGTAAAGACGTGCCTAAACACTCCGCAAGATGAAAAGTTAGCTCGTAGGGCTGCTCGTGAAATGTTTTCATGGTAAATTCAATTTAAAAAAATAAATATTGAAGACTTTTTCTAACAAAATACATTGATTTCAACCAATTAAGAAATGTTAGTGACAACACTTTTGCACTTTTCATTGCTCCTCATTCTCTCCTTCTCTCTCCCTCCCGCCCTCCCTCTCTCATGTTTCCTTTCTCCACTTGTTTCTTTATTCTCTACTTTGTTACCTTATTCTCTACCTCCCCTTCACTCTTTTCCACCTCTTACCTACCACTCTCTCATTCCTTTTTTCCCCTCCTCTGCTCTCTCAACCGTCTCACTGTTGCTCCAATTTCTCTGCCCTCCTTCCTATCCCCTTCCTTGCCCCCTCCTTCTTTTTACCTGTATGTATTAAAGTGTTAAGTTATAGAAACAATTCCATATGCTTCCACAGACAATGTATTTATGTGAATATTGTAAGAAATAATTATTTTTTCTCCAGTCTTTCTGATGGGCAAGATTTTATAACCACAGAGCAGCTCCAGAAACAAATAGAAATTGCTGAAAGACAAAATATAGGTGTTCGTCACAAAGTAGAAAAACAACCCCAACGTATTCTCGGAAGTAATGAATCAACTGAAAAGGCAGAGAACTCATGTGAGAAGGAGAGTGCGGGTAATAGTGATGGAACATCAACTCAAAATGATGCATTGTTTTCCAGTAAAGGTACTATTTCTTTATATTTAAATGTAAGTAATAAAAATGATATGCATTGTGTTTAGCTTGGGTCATTCAGAAGAGTGTCCCAAAAGTACAAATTTTTGTTTTCCCATGTGGGTCAATTAATTTTAAATGGCCCAGAATTGAATAAATTGGTTGCTTGACCATCTGAAGAAAACAAAAATCTTATTTTGTACAGACATTTCCTTATGTTTTGGCTGTTCAAAAACAACTTTATATTTTCTTCATTCTGCTTGGTTTACAAATAAAGGCGATTTTTGTTTTACACCGTGCGCCATTTTTCGCGTTTGTAGACATTTATTTTTTTCTAAATTACTCAGCTTTAGGTTATTCTAACATTGTAGAATAACCAGTGGTGCTGCCAAAGCACATATGTTCTCGCATTATTTCTAAATGCTCCGCATCATTTTACTACTGCATAAACCAGCAAAGGGATTTTAAACAGCAAATTATTTTTCCTTTCCGAGACTCGAACTCACTCGAGTTAACCAGCATGCTCTCATACCTCTACGCCACAGAAGTGCCGTATGCATCTAACTCGGAAAAAGGTATAAAAAGGTAAATTCGTGTTGAAAAAAACCTTCAACAATCAAATATCCGTTAGAAGCTCCAGCCCGTTAATATAGAAGAATGAACCAAAATGACAGTTCGCTAAACAGTTAACATCAGATGTAATTCAGAGAAGTATCCCTCTGCCGCGACAGCTGATCAGCCACGCCTCTCCGTAAAGTGTTTATGGCTCTTGTCAAGACATCATGACTTTTCATGGATCACAACCGTGTAATTATATAAAAAAATAATTATGTAACGCGAAGCTCGGAACCACGAAACACACTCGATCACAGCTCGCCATCTTAACTGTTCAGCACGACGAAACTCGTGCACCGGTACGCATCTTAACATTCAAGACTGTGTTAAATTAAACATAATACTTATGACAAAAAGAAAATTCAATGTAATATTTATAAAAAATTACAGAAGATCAAATAGCACTGCCCTTCCTAATTTCAATTATTTCTCATGGTGCACTATCTTTTCGTTGGACGAGGACATCACATAAGACGTTTTTAAACAGCCAAAATATGAAATTTATGTACATACAGTGAATTTTTTCGAGAGGGTAGAGCGACCAATTTATTAAATTCTGGACCACTTAAAATGGATTGACCCAACACTGGTGTCGCCAAGTCGAGGGTTGCCTGGCCGCTCTATGGCAAGTATGCACTGATTTGTTAACATTTGTTTATCTTTACTTAAATGATTTTACATGTGTTAGGAATCATTTGCTTGGATTTCAAGGTAGTAATTGAAAGAATTGATTTAGACTGAACTAGGAAAGGTCATCTACTGTACGAATTTGAATGTAGATACAGATTAAGGCCGAAAGTTGCAATGCGCATGCGCTAATGTACTATTTTAATCTAGGAACTACACAATTTCCTTATCTTTTTCTTCCGTCTTGTAATTTGTTTCCAAAAAATGTCTTAAACACATACCCTTCCGTTCCGCCTCCTTCACTGATGATGCCGCAATGGAGCGTCGCCCTCTCCAGCAGGGAGGGTGGATCGGAGAGGGGGAGAGAGAAAAAAAGGCTGAAGCCCTGTCTCAATCGGCACCACGCCGTTGCCCGCTACCATTTCCTCGCTCGCGCACCCAAAGGTCGCCACCTTTGGTTCGGGAAAGTTGCCGCCTCCTCCCAGCTCCAGCTCCCGGCCGCAGGCTCGCATGATTTTGACTACGTCGTCGTAGCTAATCTTTACTTCTCCTTTACACGCGTAGTAATTACTGCGCGGTAGTTTCTCAAGAGAACATTATGCAGCCACTGTCAGCGATGTGTTCGATCTGACTCTGTCGTCCTCGACTTTATCGTAGCGCGAGTTATGCAAAATTGCACTGCCGTCTGCATCAGAGAGCAATGTACTCGACCTAACCACTAGCTTCCGAGCTCTAGTCAAACGCGTTGCTCTCGTTGTGTTTTGCTCTCTGGCGAGCAAGATAGCGCGATTTCGTCTACTCTCGATCTCCTCGTAATTGCGTCTGCTCGCGCTCGCCTCGGGATTTCTTCTGTTTTCACCATTCCTTGCCCTCTCGGTCGGCAAATCTCCGCCCTACTTTTCGTTTATACAATAACTGTCCAGTTTTCTCTTCGAATTTGCCTCGTTGATATTTTACATAAAGTAACCATACTGTTAAGTGTATAAGCACAGAAAAAATAGGCTGTGTTTCCGTTCCTTCGTTGAGAAATTTCTCTCTAAAAATCGAATTTCATTTATTCGCGTTCCATAGATTTGGTTGCAAACATTTCCGCAATAAAAACGTAGACGGTAGGTAAATAATATTTCGATTCGTATGCCAGTTTACTGAATCCCATGCGTTTTATTCTAGGATATTAGAAACACTCAGAGCTGAGTAATTTAGAAATAGTAAAAGTCTACAAAAGCGAAAAATGGCATACAGCGTAAAACAAAAATGGTCGCCATTTATAAACCAGGTGCAATAAAAAAATTAAAGAACAGCCAAAGAACTAGGAAATTTATGTACAAAATATGAATTTTTTTTTGTTGAGGTTGTCGAGCGACCAGTGCTGGGCCACATGTTGACTAATATGTAAAATTTATTGTAGGTAAAAAGTGTACACCTGAAGCAGATGAGATAAAAGGATACTGATGTCTCCATTCATTAACTTACATGTGTTTCAAGATGTGTTCGCTAGACCTTATTCTTTATTTGCAATCCTTTAATCCACAAAAAAGAACTTGTAGTTGCCTCACAGAAACAGAACCGTCTCTCGCCCATGTCTGGAGATAAAAGATAAAATTACATAACTTCCTGTATAATACATTTGTGAAGATGTCAAAAGAAAAGTGATTATTATTTAAAATGAGTAATTTCAACCGGAGAGTCTCACTATTTTTTCTGAATTGGCTTCTGATGTAGGTTGAAAATGGATCTCGCAGACATTTCTGTAGTCAAAGTTAGCCCTAACTTATGCAAAGACATTGGTCTGTCCAGTGCTAAAAGTTCATTTTTATGGTGAATAACACAATCAGCCAATTTGTTTCAATCTGCTTACAGGACACGACATCGAGAGGTTACAGCATTTGGCATGGAAATTAGTCATAAAATAATTTTGAAACTAACCAGTGTGAAATAAGAATAAAGTATATAAAAGATCAGCATATGCAGTGCTGAATTGGATAAATGATTACCTTATGACAAGTTGAGAATTTTTTTATGATTTCGAAGTGTGGTGACAATTGACACAGATATATGAACATTAAAAAGTTAACTACAATCAAAGTTACTGATATTAGAAATGCCTTTTTAATACGAGGAGCAAGGCAGTCAAAGTTAGACAAAATTACGAATTAAGTGATTAGAAAGAAAATGGATAAGACTCGCACAATATTGGATTAAAGAATAAGGTTCTAAGGAACAAAATGGCTTCAGGACAGGAAGATCAAGCATTGATGGTATCTGAACATTAAAAAATTTAATGGAGAAACATGTTGAGAGAGATAGTGACCCATATGATATTTGTGACCTTACAGAAGGCATATGATACAGTGCCATTAAATACGTTGTAGCCAGCCATGAAGGAAAATGGTATCGCTGAAGCCTGTGTTCGTGCTGTTAAAGCATCATATACTAGAAATTACATCTCGGTCAGAATCGGGAAAAGTCTTTCTCACAAATTCCTCTGGGACAAAGACCCAAGAAAAGGATGATCACTAGCTCTCCCACTATTTAATATATTTTGAGGAAGACTTCAAAATATGGAAAAGGAAGTGTAATGAGATGGGCATTCCTGTAAATGACCATATACTACGAGGGTTGCCTTTTATATTTCAGGAATAGAGAACAAAAACAAATATTAATCATCGAAAATCATTATACTGTTTTCCAAAATATACTCCATTAAGATCTATACACTTTTGCATGCGTTTGAACCTATTGTCGAAGCACTTTTGCCACTCTGATTGAGGTATCTCCAAAACATGCATTCTGAATGCAGCAAGAGCTTCTTCAGGTGTCGAAAATCGTTGACCTCTGTTTGTTTTTTACGTACGGGAATAAAAAGAAGTCATTCGGTGCCAAGTCGGGACTATTCGGCGATGACTCATCAAATCGATGTTTTGGGTGCTCAAAAATGCGGTTGTTTGAGCCGATATGTGAGAGCTCGCATTGTCATGGTGAAGAGTGATCCGTCTTCGGCGGTTGGTTTTCCTGATTTCTTGGAAAACAGCTGGCAAACAAATCGTTGTGTATCACTGTTCTGCGTTGTTCTAGTGGTAAGGTTGCAACATGTCCAGTTTTTTCGAAAAAACAGGCGACCATGTTTGGAAGTGCTTCTTGCGCGAACAACTTTTGTTGGATTTTGCTCATCTTGAAACACCCATACAGTCGACAGCTGTTTACTTTCGGGCTCATAAGCATAAATCCACGATTCATCATCTGTCACGATGTCATAGACGTGTTTCGAAGCACCGCGATCGTATTTTTGAGCATTTCTTTCGACCATTCGACACGAGCCTTTTTTTTTTTTGAGCGATTGACAAATTGTGTGGGATCCAACGCAAACAAATTTTTCTGACAGTCAAATGTTCATGCAATATTGAATGTATGCTGGTCCCACTAACGCCTAAGGTTGTCTCAATCTCACGATAGGTCACATGACGATCTTGCAGTATCAGTTCACGCACAGCATCAATGGTTTTCGGAACAAAAACTGATTTTGGACGACCTTCACGAAATTCGTCTTCGAGTGTATTACGACCACGATTGAATTCACCATACCATCGATAAACACTGGTCGTTGATGGAGCTTCATCGCCAAAAATTGAATTAAGTTTATCCATGCCCTATTACTGAGTTAATCCACGTCGAAAGTTGAAAAAAATAATCGCACGAAAATGTTCACGATTTAATTCCATTTTTGGGCCAAGATGAATCTTTTAAGTTACTGTAAACAACACAAATAGCGCTCGTATGTCAAAACGTGCTGAGAACGTATAACCTCAAAACATCCAACTTTACGATAGAGCTGTCAGTTGCCAGATTGCAACACCAGGGTTGCTATATCCCAAACCCGAAGGCAACCTTCGTATACACAATACACGTCTCCACTTCTCCAATGATCAGGTTGTCATAGCTGGCAATGAGAGTGACGCAAGCTGTATGTTCTGTAAGCTTCAGGAAGAGTATGAAAGCTGGAGATCAAAGTATGCAAGTCAGTCAGATACTTCAGAGTAACTGTTTCCTCAAATGATAGAAGTGCCGAAGATATCTGTATTAAAACAGGACAAGGAAAAAAGAGTGATTGGGCAATTAGACACTACTTTGGAGTACAAAAATCACAGAAAAGACTAAATGCATTTTTTGTAAAACAATAGTGGGGACTGTACTTATGGAGCTCGAACGTGGGTTTTATGTAGGAGAGATTAATCCCAGTGATGTTCTTATGATACGACTTTTGGAGAAGGAGCTGCCGTGAGTCAAAATTAGATCATATACGAAACTGTCATCCAACAAATTGTAGATGTTGAAGTATCCATCTTAGACACGGGTGAAGCCATGCGTTAGAGTTGGTTTGAGAAGGCCACCCAGAAGCTGGATGAAAGACGTAGAATGTGATAGGGGGCAAGAGAACTGTGAGAAGATGACTGTGTAAACTGAAAATATTGGAAGTTGAGATGTGAGAAACCATGTCAACAGTAAACAATTGTGTGTGTGTGCGCGCGCGCGTGCGTGCGTGCGTACACACAAACAAACATACATACATACACATTTTTATTCTAACTCTAAAATTTAGATTAGCAGGTATGCATAAGGAAATTATAATTTCTTTGTGATCGTCATTCCTCATGACTTTCCGGGACGAAGACTACAAATTTGTTTTACTCATGACTCTGTCTCTTCGAAACTCTGTTGTGGAGAAACATAAGTGAAAACAATGATATTTTTCATTCTTTGCACTTGCATATTCGCAAACACTGAGAAGGGTATATCCTATACAGAGAAATCTATCCTCAAAGGGTACCAGAGGCCATCAACGGGAGAAAAGGGAAGAAGAGGAAAGAAGAAGAATAATATCTTGAGTGCTAAGATCTTCCTTTTTCATTTAGATTTTAATCTCAAACTGGCCCTGGAGCCTCTGCTTCTACAGAAAGACAAAACACGACTGTGCCTTTGTGTTGTGTAGGCTTGCAGGTATGTTTGGAGCTTGAAGTTGAGAGCCAGGAAGAAAAAAAGCAAAACAATGATGAAAATAGGGCAAAATATAAAAAGTAGGCATCAAAGCTAAAATAGGCAAAACAAGCAAATAAAAATCTGCCTAAACAACTCCAAAAGTACAGTTAATTGTTAAGTCATAAAAAGTAACAATAATAAAAAGGCAGTTTCCCGAACTTTAGGGTTATAGCCAATGGAAGAAACCAGGCATCTGAATATTGTTTTCAAGGAGGAACAAAAGAGAATATCCAAAATTATATGGTTTGGAAACATTCCAGAAATTTTTAAAGAAAAGGTTTGTAACAAAGAAACATTTAGGAATTAAAAGCAGCTGGCAAAAGTGGGAATTTGGATGAAAAAACAGAATGTTTCTAATTTGTAGTTTGATCACCAACTAGTAGTTCAGATACCTCATTATAATCAGTAGAGTGTATCTCTCAATTTGGTACAGTAGTGAGAATTGAAGACAAGGTATGTAAGGAGAATAAATTGCCATGTGGATGCTTTTGGCCTGGACCTGAAGTTTTTGTTCCCTCTGGATTGTAAGTCTTGCTAGGTGGCACATACCATTGACAAAATATTTGTGGACCAAATGACTTAACGGGAACCCATCACCAAGATTCCGAGTTTTGGTCAATAGCCTCTTCATTAATGAGATTGTTGAGCTTCAATTGCTATTTTATCAAACAAAACAGCAATTCTAATTGCTTAACTGGTCACTCCTTTTACCTACAATATTCAGATGTAATTGCCCTACATTAATTAAGAGAGTGCTAATATTACTTTGCTTGTATTTGTTCTTTAAGATTAAGAGTGACACTGAGAGAGATGACAGAGGGCACAAAGAAAATGCAGCTTCTTGTATCAACAACAGTGTCAATATGTCAGATAATTATCAAGAGTACTTATTAGCCCAAAATTCATGAAGAAAATAGGAATTTTCAGAAAGTTAATTGAAAATGTTTTTTTCAGAATATTAATTAAATGCATTTTCCACATTTCCACAAATTATTCAAAGGAAAATTTGAGAAATTTTAAAAATGGAATATCAACATCACAGGAAGTAATCTGTAATTCTCAAAATTCTTGGAGTCTAATGTTGTCACGCTGAAAGTACAGTATCCAATTTGGAAAAATTCCTACTTGCTATTTTGAAACTATATGTTATCACAATTAGTCGATGTTTTTTTGGAAGAGACCCAAATTCCATATAGTCATTAGTCTTGAGAACAATTTCTCAACAAATAAAACAACAAAAAACTTTCTTGTAGTTTCAAGTGGAGTATGTAGTACTCCCAACATCAGAATTAGTGTTTCTTTCAAACTCATGGTACAAGCAGCTCCACTCACCAGAGACAAAAGAGAGTGTGAGTAATGTGTGATTCGGTAATGAATTCAAAGAAATAAGAATGTAATGGGTGCAACAGAAACTAGAAAATTTATGTATTGTGAGATCCTTGTTTTAAATCAACCTGATTGCACTCACAAGTATTTGTTGTTATTTGTAATACAATTGAGAATTGGATTAGATTGCCTGGAACACCTGAACCAACAATACCCTTTAGAAATGCAAACAAAAGAAAACATAATGTAAGAAATTAAAATTAACTAAGCAAACAAAAAATATCTGATAATGAAAAATATTTGAGATAATATAGATATCATTTAAATTTGAGCTTTGTTTAGGAACATACAAGATGTCAGTATTTTGGGAGGTCATGGAATTGATAATTCTAAGCAAAAAAAAATTTTCTATGCCTTGTTCTGAAGGGTTTCTCAGATAAAACATAGTTGACTATAGTATTTCAGATTTGACACTCAACAGTCTGCTTTCCTTCTCCAACACTGAGCCAGAACCTTAAGTATCTTATTCCATAAAATTTCGGTTGGGTCATTACCATTGTTGTTAAATGTACCCACAATGTAGAACACTCCTTTAGTGGTAGGAGTCTTCTACAAAATGCCTCTCGTCATCACAAATGCAGAACATGTTAATATGTTGTATGTGTAAGTGTTGGTGATGGTTAAACCACACAGTTGAAAAATTATTTTTCATGTATCGAATTCTGAATCATAGTTTTCTTCTGTATTTAAGGCATTTTGTAAATGGATATCCAGTGTTGATCTTTCATTTAAACGAGCACATGTGGAGGAACAGGAAAGCATTCTCCAAAAACCAGAACTTAACCCTACAAATTGCACGCAAAGAGACTGCTCATCTTAGTATTTCACAAACACATGTTTACAAACATTGCAAGAAGAAGGCTTGTATCCGTATTGTGCCCTGTTAGTACATAATCTGCACCCAGAGTACCTAGTCAAGAATTTTGTCACTGTTTCAAATTTACTATGATAGTTTTAAAGAATAATACTGATATTTCAAACAGAGTTTGATGCCATGTAGTGCATTTTCAGAATAAGACATATTAGTCTATTGTGAGATCAATCAGGTCTACCTCAGAATCCCTTCAAAATAAGATGCCTTTTCAAAAAAACTTTTTTGTTTAGAATAATCTACACTGACCTTTCCGAGTATTGATGCTTCCTCCTGGATCACTCCCTGACCAGAGTTTTGAGTAGGCTTTCTCCTGAGTATCACCACACCACACATGCTTATTGCCTAAGTTATATGTTAAGATCATAAGTTGCACTATAGCCTACCTATGTCTTGAATATTTTTAAAATTTGGTTGAGCCATCTTGGGGAAATTAGCCTATAAACATTTTTGCTTTGATTTTTATTTAAATAGTTTCTTTTTTAAATTATTAAATTATGTTATGTATTAATTATGTTTCTTGACCTTGCTCCAATCGGATATAAAGAAAGAAATTCAAATATGTTCTGACAGACATCAGTGAATTATTCTTTTATTCATGTATATCTTTTATTGTGTATCCATCTACATAACGTCTTTTCCTTTTCAGATTGGACTTCTCGAGATGAAGATTCTGGCCAGAAAGTGACAGAAGATCATTTGGTGACAGCTGCATCAAATTATGCACGTGGAGAATTGCCTCTCATGCACAGAGTTTTAACTCTTAGTCAGCGTGGTAGCCAGGCTGTTGATTCAATGCATTTTTTGCATCGCAGTCTTCTTCATCCATTAAACTCTCTTCACTCTCTCTACATAAATGTAGTAGATTTTATTGTGAAAAATGGATCTGCATTTCTTTCCGCTTTATTTCCATCAGCACTGTCTCATGTTCAAACTTTATTAATTTTAGTAGTCTACTCTTTGTGTGGAACAGAAAGTCTTCTTTTATTTATTCCAATGATTGCATATTGCATTTCATTCATTGTAATGGTAGTGTCTACTTTTCAGATGATACATAGAAAACGAGAATTCCATGATTTTAGAAAATGGTCTTGCCTATTTATTAGTTATAGTGGAGGTAACTTAAACCCAGAAGAAGCTGAGTATCAGTATTGTAGTAAAAATTTACGTCCTTATGTTCATTTTTTTGTGGCATTGCTAGTGAATCTTTTAATATATCCTGTCATAGCAGCATATTGGACTCCCCAAACAGAACTTACAGTTATAGCTTTCTTTCTTACACTTTTAACATTGTATGCTTTTATGGACAATAGAAAATTCCCAGACTTTTTAGCTCTTTTTTCATTTGCAGTAAATATTCTGGCAAAATATCCATATGAAACTGATGCAGTGGTAACACAAGGTTGGCGATTTTTGGATGTTAGGATTCCTACTTTCGCTTCATATGTAGTAGGGAATGGTGTGGAGTTCTGTTTAAATTTTAGAGCCGTATTTTATTTACTTATTCCAGCAATTTTTGTAAAGATGGCATCTCGCGATAAATGGCGAGGTACTTACAAAACACTTATTCCTCATTGTGTGACTCTGTCATGGTGGCAAGTGGCAGTTATCTGTTCTCAAGGAGCAACTTGGTATGCCTTGATCCGCAGTACATTAGCAATGGTAGGGTTGATTTTAATTGTCCCTCTTGCTGGTCTTGGAATGATAATACTTCCTGTTTTTGCCGTTGGAAAATACCTCGCAAATTCTGCAATATTGCTTCGAGTTTTGTCGTCAGTTGCCCTTGCATCTGTTCCGCTTGGAATAGCATTGTATTTAAAAAGGTGGAGACTACAAGGTTATACAAGAGCAACAGTTGAAAGATTTATTGCAAGAACACAGGTTAGCTTTTCATATTTTATATCTTAGTAGCATGTATTCTCAAAACTTTAACTAAAGACTCCTCTTCCTCCTGTTCTTTTCTTTTCTTTTTGTGTCTTCTCCAGATTTATCCTTTTTGAAATGAAAAATATTGGCATTTTTTCATTTTTGTAGAACAATGTAATTGTCATCATTTTATCTCCAAATCTATTGATTGTTGAAGACCATACTTAATTTTAAATTACTTAATTTTACTTAATTGAAAATTGATAAAAGCATAAGGTGCTTTCATCAACTATATTCATAAAATTGTGTAAATATTATATTGTTTTCATTTCTTTTCAAATTAATTTTCAATTTAATACCTAGGATTTGGTGGTTTAAAACCAACATTAACAAATTTGTCAAAAATTCTGCTCTATATATACAGATTTTCAAAGGAGCGTTTTTCCAGAAGGTAACTCAATGGTTCCAATCGTTCCATGCACCTTAAGTGATAATCATGGAGTGGTGCTTTTAATTGATAGCTGATAGCTTTTGATTGATAGCTGATGTAGAAGTAATATCCCAATATGTATTTTGTGTGTTTGCATAGAATAATTGATAATAAGTCAGAAGACAGCAGATTCAACAACTATACATTCTGATTTAGGTTTCCTCCTTAAATTATGGGAGAAATAAGTTAAAAAACCTAAACCTTAAAATAAGTAAAGAAAATTATTCTCTCACTGAGGAGCAGAGACTATGGAATCTTATTGTGATTTTGAAAATATTAGTCAAGACGAAGTATGAGATAATGATGCAATTTGAAAAGTCAAAATAATTTCTAAAGTTGAAAGTTTTGCAAATTAGACAAACTGGCTATTAAAAAAAATATAATATCACAGAAGCGATGGGTATTGCTATACAAGAGTTCTAGGAAGAGTATGTAGTTGTATGTATCTAGTGGTATTACAAGCATTATTTTTTGCATTATTTTGAAATTTGCCATTTTCGAAAATTCAGAGGTTAACGAAAATAAGTTCTGCACCATTCTTTTAAGGATTCCCCTTCATCTATTTGTTGTTTTATTTTTAGAAAGTGCATAAATTCCAAGTAAAAATTACGCAAAAACTGCTTGATTAAAAAAAAAATCTCATTCTCTTCTTCGCTGGAAACATTAAGCCTGTTGACACTCCAGATTGGCTGACAGCATTACAGCTGACCAAGTGTCAATAGGTTTAATGTTTTAATCAAAGTATAAAGAGCATACCTTTTAGAACAGATTTTGTTAAAGGCAAAAATTTCTATCTTACATTTTGTAGTTTAGAAATTTTAACTTTTTGCAATTTTTGAAAATATGAAGAATTCACAGAAAATGGGATTAGCACCATATTTTTTACCGATCTGTGATACATATGAGGAAAAAGTTCAAAGAAAAACTGGAGCAATTTGTGGTGAAAAACTGTTTAAGAAAATAAAAATTGCCCATATTCATCCCAAATTACGCAAAATTTACACATATTATCGAAAAGTTGTGCCTGTCCTTATTTCAAAATCTATCTTTAAGATTTCATTAAGCAAAAAATCTTTCTCCAGTATTGTAGTTGCAGAAAGACACTGAAAAAAAATTGAACTTTTGCAATTTTTAAAAATCAGACTTGGACTGACAGACGTTTAAAAAAAAGTACTTTTTGTTATCAGGGCTTGTATTTCCTTTTAAACCATACCATAAAACTTAATTGAAATTAGTCCAATTACCTTTTTTTTTCTCTTAAAAATATAATTTAAACGTAATATGAACAAAAATTGGAAAAAGTGAATATAATAATTTTATTATTATTTAGTAAGTTTAATTTATAGGTATTTATATATTAATTAATAGGGTTGGTATGAGGAATTACTGAATGTAATTATTCATGTGGCATTGCCATACATGGCAGCAATAGGGCACATTGAGCCGTTATTCCAATAATTTCATTTTTTGATGGCGACAGATGGGAGTAGAATGAGATAAGGAGACTATTTACTTAATTTTACAACTGTTATAATGGCTCTATGTTCAATAAAATGGTTAATTGAACTACATTAATGTTGGAAAGAATATATTCATAAGATGGACATTAAGTTATGATACCACAGTTTTGTATGCGTTCATAAGCCGATATATGAAATATCTTTAGTTCTGGATGTTTAATTTATATGTGAAATCATTGTTGCTTCTGTAAATAGTGCTGCAAATATTTTAACGGATGAAATCTGTTTATGCTTGTTTCTTTTGTAGTAGTGAGAATGGGCTACTGTTCCTGACGATCAAAATAATTGCAGATATTCACCGCAGGTGCTTGTTCAATTTTTTTTTTTTTTTTTTTTTTTTTTTTTTTTTTTTTTTTTTTTTTTTTTTTTTTTTTTTTTTAAGTGATATCTGAAGTGAGGGCAGAAATAGTAATATTATAGTATTGTATAACAATTCCCATTATTGCAAGAAAGTATGTGCTGTTTTATTTTGTGTGTGGGTTGTTTTCTTTCTTTTTTCCCCTTTCCATTACTCCATTAATTACAGCATTGAATTTGCGAACATAATTTTGCTTAAAATTGTCTTTTGCAGATCATTGTGATGGTTGCAGCTGCTGTTTTTCTGCTTATGCCTCTTGTTACGGAATTGAGTATCCAGGATGATGAAAGTTCAGATCGATTTCCACAGGGAAGTTTGTCATGGGAACAGTACCTTAATTATTGTCACCAACCAGCATGGGAGCGAACCTCAATGGCAACAGTTCAGTTACAATGTGCTCAGCTGGCAGGTACACCCGTCAGTTGGGATGGCTACATTTCACAAGTTAAAATACGAAGCATAAGTAACACTTTACAAACTATTGTCGGCAAATTGCCGAAATTGGCTCGAAATATTTTAACTTGTTATTATGGAGAGCCTTATAATGATAACTGTGATGAAAATTTGACAGAATCACAATTCAGGCAGTGTAAAATGATTAAGGAACTTAAAACCAAGCATTCAAGATGTCACCTGGAAGGATGGAACAAGTAAGTATTTTAAAATTGGTTGTATTGTGCAACAATGGAAGAATGGCCTTTGTTTTTCAATTTCATCATTTAAAGTTCACTAAACAATAGTGAAAATTATTTGCTGTTTATCATTGATTTTGTCCGTATTTAGAATCCTGGAGTAATATGTAGAATTGTAAGAATTTGTTAATGGAAAAAAATGAAAATTGTTATTTTACACTGAAAAATTACTGTTTTTCACTGTTCTATTAAAAATTAATTGTGTAAGAATTAATATCAAAAATTGTTTTTAGGTATGAATTTGAAGTCCATGTGAAAATGAAATCTGGAATGTGGGGTACTGCAGCAGAAATCTCACTCATTGCAGACAATTCATTTCGCAACTTCACCCTTGCTCTTAGGCCTGGAGACAGAGTTTGGTTTACAGGCACTCTTTTGAATGAAGGAAAAGGAGACAATTTGCTTGGAGGACAAACACCTCAAATTGATTTGTTAGAAATAGGATGTTTGGGTTGTCATGTTAGTGAGATAGCTATTCACAAAAAGATACCAGTTTCATTTGATGCAATGTCGCTATTGAGTTATGTGTACGTGGGAATAAAATCTGTTTTGAATTTTGTATTCAATCCTTTAGTAATTTTTAAGTGAAGTTCTTTTGGATAATAATTTTGATAAGTTGCCTTTTGAATTTTGTAGTTTCTGTATGATTATACAGAGGAAAAAAAATATTTATGTAACATAATAGGGACTATAACACTAAAGCACTTTTTTTTCCAAGAACAAGTACTGAATTTGCTTTGTTTATTGTTAGTCAGTGCTAAATGTAAATACATAACATCATAGCTATGTAATGCTGTGTAAATAAGTGTGAAATTTGTAAATACCACTAAGTATATGTAATTATATAAATAATACCGAAAATATAATTAATTCATTTATAATTAGCTGAAGTAACCTGGCCTGGCCCCAGAATATTTACAAAAATCATCTTTAGCCAGTGTTGGTAGCCAAACTTCTCAACTACACTCCGTGAAGTCAGAGAGGTTAAGCAGCACGAGATACTGAGGGTTCCTAAGTAAGATACCCTGGGAACTCTAGATTTTAACAGCACAAACCACAGTTGCCAATAGGGATAAAAGGCAATGAAATGACAAAAAGATTATGTCAAAGGATAATAAATTACTCCTTATTAAGAAAGTAATAGGAAAAGGAATTAATTCTCTATAAACGGAGAAAACTGTCAGTGTTTTGACAGGAAAGCTCCCTGGTACTGAATGGGAGGGGCTTTCTCGCTCTTACGTGTAAAAAAAAAAAATTCTCGGACATCTAGTGTAGTCACTATCTTTTTTATTATTATTATTTGGCATCAAAATTGGTTGACAAAAATACTATCAAATTTACCTATTTCCCCGTCTCTCCATTATTTTCAGTATGATACATGCAACAAAAGCTGGAAAAAAATTAAACATGAAAACTTCAATTCTTATTGTATCTCTGCAACAGATTGTCTTAACAGACTGATTTTGTGGGAATCTATGGCATTTATTATTCTCTTGCGTATGAGCATCATGATTATCAATTAGGTTTTGGGGAATTTTTCACTGCCGTATTCGGCTATATCCTTTAGCAACATAGCCCCTTTTTTTATTACCAGGGCCTGGCAGTAAGAGTTTTTCTTCCGAAAGTTCAGTTTTTGCTCTCAGCATTACATAACTTTGTTTTCTTAAGAAGTACCTTCAATGAAATGGATCAAGTTTTTAATGAATCAAATTATTTAGAAACTTGGAATGTTGTAAAATGTTGGGATACTCTGCTGGAAAAACACTTTGAAACGACAACAGTATTTAAAGGCATATCCAGTGATATCCAAATAGATATATTTGGGCCTTTCCATACGAAAACATAATTATGAAGAAAATTTAAACTCGCCATGGAGAAACCATTGGTCGCGAATTTTTGTGTTCTCCAGGGCTGTATATTTTCAAAAAAGTACATGACGTTAATGGCCGGGTGGCTAAGCTCGTTGGTAAGCGCGATGGCTTTCCATGACCCGATCTCGGGTTCGATTCCCTGCCAGGCAAGATTATGGTGCGAATTTTCCTTGCAATGTCCCAGTTTATATTGCTGAATGACGATTAGAAAATTTACTTCTCAGGTTGAGAATACGGCGTGGGGATGTCTTTGTGCCAACCACACGTACCCCTATTACCCAAGACCGCAAACCGAAGTTAAACGATGTTTTCGAAATCGTAGGATGTTTAGTCGCAGCTGATTGTTCAGGGTGTATTCATTAAAAAATCCTACGAATAATTTAGGCGGTAGAGGACGGACGGGCGTTTCGAAAAATCAATTTTTCCGGTTCAGAGTGCCAGGAAACATCGATTTTAGTTGAAATTAATTTCGAAATGAATTTTACGCATCATACGTCCGAAATAGTATGATATATTCATACTATATTACGTACACATCGAAGTAAAAATTAACTCCTACAGTTTTATTTAGGAAAAATTCACATGGTGAATTCTATAAATTAGACAAACGCCATTTTCAAATTAAAACTCGAACCCTAGAATAGGAGAACTCGTCAGTCTGATAACACAGGGTTGCAAACAAAAAAATAAATTATAAAATTTTTAAAAAACTATGCTTCTGATTCTGGTGGGTGATTTGAATTCATTTCAGTTAATACTTTAGGCCTCGTTCACAATGCTAACCTAGGGCCTCTACACACGGGCCCAGAGAGTATATACGGGCCAATTTGTCGGACCTACCGTCGGAACAATGAAACAGGACTTCGGCTACACTCTGTCCGACCAACAACTCGATTTTCCAGTAGTGCTCGGAATTTCGAGAAGGCAACATCTATGCAAGACAGTGCAAGCTCAATGATTCCCGTCCTCAAAATTCTGGCAAAAAAAAAATCATATTTAGAGATGTTTATGTACACAATAGTTTACCCATATCATCATGGAGTTAAAATGGACGTGAGGAACACATTCATCTTCAAAGCCCAGTTCGAAAGCTAACCACGTGCAACCGTGTGCTATTACGGCAGCGAAAAATACCATCAGGTTATTAACGTTTTTAACAAAGTATTTGTACGAATATAACACGAGATATAATAAAAAATTTAGTTCAAGCGAATACTGAAAGCAATTGTTTTTCTTTATGTTGCTTTAATTCTCGTAATTATTGTCAATTTTTTTTTTACATTGCCGATATTGAAAAAAAAAAAATTTGCATTTTATGTTTCATTTACTTTTCTGCCAAACTTGATCAAAACAGTTCGCAAACTAGTTCAGTACATAACAGTAATGAAATGACAACCTCAAACTACCTGAACAGAATCCATGTTTGTTTCTTTAACGCTGCTCTCTGATTGGTCGTTGATAGAATTCCGACGTAAACTTAAGGAACCTGGGGGTGTTGACTAAACGCAATTTCGTAAGATTTCCGCGCGTCCTATTGTAAATTGATCTTGCCTCTACCACAGTGGAGCCTCTACACGTGCGCTGGACTGCTGGTGAAAGGTTTCTTCTTCTTCGACGGTTTCTACCCCTTAGAGTTTGCCGTTTTCGATTTCCATAATTCTCGGTCCTCCCATTGATCCTCTTCCAATCCTTTCTCCTCCATTACTTCATGTAGATATGTCTTCCAGGTTAAACCAGGTCTACGTCTTCTTTCAGGTATCCAATTTAAAAATTGTTTTGGCCATATCTCATTTCGCATCCTCTGAACATGTCCATACTATTGAAGAGCTTTATTTTCTAGTCTTCTGGTTATGGTTGTTTGAACCCCAGCTCTTTCCCACACCACTTCATTTCGTATTTTATCCAGTCTTCTTATCTGCAAAGATCTTCTCATAAAGTCGACCTCTACCGACCGTATTATGTCTACGGCGTTCTGTTAACTGCCACATTTCTGATCCATATAATATAATACTTTCCACGATACTGTGGAATATGTGTCGTTGTGTGTCTTGCCTTAAAACACTATTCCATATAAGACCATGCAGAGCTTTGATTGCATTCCTCCCCATTGCGAGTCTAGTAGTTATATCTTCATCATTTTTCCCATCATCAGTAATTACAGTCCCAAGATATTTAAATTTCGAAACGTTAGCTATCTCGTCATCAGCGACATTAATATTAGAGGCATCTCCTCCTATGCATAAATATTCTGACTTTTTAACGTTGATTTTAAGTCCCCATTTTTCGTATTCTTTTAATTTGCTAAGCATATACTCCATATCTTCCCGTTCTGCTGCCATAATTACCTGATCATCTGCAAAAAGTAAAGAATGTAAGCCCTTGTCATTTATGGGAACTCCCATTTGAGAACATTTCTTGTACCAGGTTTCCAAAGCTTGTTCAATATATATTATATATATATATATATATATATATATTAGTAGGGACTAGTATATTATGTATATAATTATTATATGATATAGTATTATACTATAGAAGAGAGTGGGGTAACTACATCTTGCTTTTTAAGCCCTTTGTTATGTCCTAATGCTTTCGGGTAATTGTTCTTCCCGTTTTTAATGCAGCTTAGTATCCTGGTACTTTTTTGTAACTAAATTAATTGCCATTTTTTCTTGCACTTTGTTTTTCATTGGCTGGCCACATTTTATCATCTTGGAAACTATCATGGCCTTTTCCAGGTCATAAATGTGAATATATGGTATCTATATTGTGCTTGCTTTTTTTCTATTATCTGGCGAAAGCAATGGAGTTAATCCAAACATGACTCCCACTGGCCTAAAACCACTTCTGTTCTTGCTGAAAGTTTTCCTTTTGTATTGTTTTTTAAGAATACTAGATAGCTAGCTATTGAATGGGACGGGACAGCTAATTCCTCTGTAATTTTTCACAAATAGGTTTTAGTCGGCTTTTCTTGTGTGGATTGACTGATGTATGACATATTCTATTATCCTGGGCGGGATATCACCGCTAATTAATTCTGTTAAAAGTATTTGTATTGGAGGGTATTCATATATTATACCTCAGAGCAGTCCGTATTTTGAAAAGTTCATTCTAAGGTTTCCCTGGTCTGGAGCTTATTGTTTTTTTGGCTCTCGCCAAAGCTCGTGCTTTACCTAAGAGCCGACTAATTTCAGGTTCCCATTCTTGCCAATGTGTGCATTCCAAATCTTGTTGGTATTCAACTCTATTTTCTTGCAATAATGTTTCGTAGTAGTCAATCCATTTTGTAGGACTTATTATTTGTACTTTGCTTCTGTTTTTCTCATATTTTTAATTATTTTCCATGCTCCAGTTGATCTGTTATATCCCAATGTACTGTCTGTATCCCTACATAATCTCTCCCAGTGTTAATTTTTTTCGATTTTTACTAATTCTTTAACTTCTTTTCTCTTTTCTACATATTCCTTTCGTGTGTCGTCATTTCTATTTGAAATCCATGTCAAATATATTTTTTTCTTTTCCTTAATCATGCTTTCTAAATTTTCGCTAAATTTATCTACAAACTTGCTTTTTTCTTGCTCCTCTCCTAGAACTTCCTTAGCTGCTTCAAAAACAGCCTCTTTTAATTGATAGTTCATTTTTTCGGGACTTTTATCTTCTGAGTTTTTTAGCTTATTCTTAATTCTGTTTTGGTTGAGCATCGGTTTCTTTAAGGCTCAATGTCCCGACACTAGTACAATTTGTAGCCACCACGTGGCAGCACCAAAATAAGTAAAATTTACTTTACTGATAACGTCTGAACCAATGATCCGATTTTCGATCTGTAAACGGCATTTGACGCCTTTTTAAAATAGAATTTACGCTACGAAGCCCATTTTCCAAAAATCTAGCAAAAATTCGAATTTGAAATTAGTTCTCGAACTTACGAGAAAAAATAAAAAATGTGGGCTTATACCGCGATGGCGACATGCTTCCTGAATCCAACGTGACAATCATGAAAATCGGACGAATAGGAGCGTCGTACAGTGAAAGTTACGAAAACACTTCGCCCCCTTCCCCTTTTGAATTGTTGCGTCACCCACCCGATTGTTGTGAGCACTCTGTCGGCGCGGCGGCACGGCCAGGCCAGGCGGCGTGCGACCAGCTTTCGCCACTTTGCATCTCAATCAATTTTTCCACAGATACCAAACTAGAGATGCTATACTACTATTTCAGACCGAGATAGAAGGTCTGTAATAGTAGTACATAAATATCTTTTTCACATATTTCTGTCTTCTTTCGAATACGATCTTAAAATCGTTTGAAGCATTACTCAAAATATCGATTCCGATTTGATTTTTTTTTTAAGAACTAAGTCTCTAAAAGTCACTAGTCT